CTCACACGACAATATTATGGACACCGAAATTATTATAAAAATCAATGGTCTAGCCGTCTAGGTTCAATCACAGTTTAAAAAAATGAGCAACCGGGAATAAAACAAACCTGATGTTGAGACAATTTCGGTTAATTTGATGCAACTGAAATATTGAATAAACGTCGAGCACATGCCTTACGTTTGAAAATATAATTATAAGAGCAACAATTATAATAATCCATTACATACAATATACACGGTAGAATAATTTACTAGGAAGGAATGGTAGAAAAAAATTATTTACGAAAATCGAAACCGTACAAACCAAATAAATGCATTATAACTTGATTGAAAAAATAATTGGATGACAATTCTGCAATCATCATAAATTAAATTTATCAAATAATATTGAGTTAATTTTTATAACCAGACAATGCGATGAAGTCGACAATATACGTCAAGTGTYAAGTCGTCAAACACATTATTCGACGACAGAAAAATGAAGTAAATATACTTTAAGCTTTAAGCAATAATTTGGATAAAATATTTTTATTAGCAAGCGTGTGTGAAATGTAATGCATTCTTTCTTTATTTTTTATTTACTATTTATGTCTATGACTAAGCTGGCTACTTTTTGCTTATTTTTATTTTTTTTTTTCGAGTGGCAGGTTTATTTATGAATTATGATTAAGTCTTGCCATTTCTTTCACCAGCTGCGTATTAAGAACTAAGAAGTACCTACTAAAACAAATAGTTAATTAATATACCAAGACGTAATAATATGACATAACAAAATAATTCAACGTCGTCCTCGCAATCACGSGAGTTGTTGCGCAGTATTAATCTTTATCGATAACAAAAGTGCAGTCATTTAATGCAGTAATTCATTAAATACTGATGCCAGTGAATAATCCACGAGCCGTGATTCGCGTGAGGCCGAGGTCGTAGGAAATGAGTAAAACTCTTGTGAATTATTTGTTGAAAACAACAAACAATAATCGACCGCRTAGAAAATTCTAGAAGTTTCTTTGTCTCATTGTCTGACGACATACAGTCATAACACTTAACAGTTATGGTAGGGGCTACGGGCATCATGACGTGACCGCGGTAAAGACGTGGAACGGTACGCGGTCGCCGATTTTTCCATGATTACCACCCTCCGCCTACCCAAACACAAACAGCTGTGATCACGTGGAAGATCGCGGTTGGTCGACAGTTTTACTGCGCAATAACCTCCATTCCCCTTYCCGTACGGATGCCATTTATGAGATCTGGCTGCGTCAGTGTTGCCAGACGTACGAGAATTCTCGTATTCGTACGAGAATTGAAGGCAGACGTACGAGGTACGAGGACACTCCACTCTCGTACGCCAAAAATACGAGAATTCAATCATTTAAATAATAAAATATTAATATGTATTAATCTATTAATATAACTGTTACAAATCAATTATCAATATATTATTTTAATTTTGGTTTATTTAAAATTAAAAAAAAAAAAA